TTAACACCCAAACACACACACACACACACACACAATTCAAAGAACAACAATTTCCACATCCGACTGTCATAACTAACAAGTGAAATAATCAATAACTTCCTTTGATGTGAGCCAACTTTAGCAACAATGGAACAAACCAATGAGAATAATGAGGTACGGGACACTAAAACACTTAATATTTGGATTTAAAGCTAAAATGAAGTCCCGGTACAGGCAATATAAAATCAAAACACACACCTCATGTGTGCACAGATATGTTTGATCTGCCGTCCCATGATCCCCAGCTGCCTGAACACTCTGGTGGTGCTGCGGGAAAACTCACAGTCCCACATTCCTCAACAAGACACTAGAAACCCCACTGGAGTCCAACAGAAGCTCTGAGTTGTCTTTGTTCAGCTGGTACACACACACACTGGTTAGAGTGGGGCTTCATATCAGACTGCACAAGTCTTTTAATCATTCACATTACTATTAAAAAGATACTTATACAATAATTCAGCTGTTCAATAAGTCAACTTTGGAAGATCCAAAATGAAAACATTTAATGCCTTTAAAAGTAAAAGCACCTTTAGCTTAAGGCAGTGATAAGAGGATAAGATTGTGTCCCAGACTTCAGAGAAGCAGTGATACTGTAATTATTTGTGTGTACAGATGGCAATTCCTTATATTAATGATGGTTAAATGAAATTGAAATTCAAGTATGCAAGCACAAAACTATGCCGACTGAAAGTGTTTAAAAATGAAATAAATAAAAAAAATATAAAATAATTAATCACGCAGTAAAAACAGAATATTTAGCCATCAAAGTCTTTCTAGTCATTTATTTAAAAATGTCCTTTTGACAACAAACAAATATAACAACAGATCGTTTAATTTCGAATTTAAATTTAAAATAAAGATCTTTGGTTTCCGAGAGTGATTGCGTAAATTAAACAGTGTTATGTTTAAATCAAACATTTTTTAAGGATTGTATTCAAATTCAAGCATTTTCCTAACCTTGAAAACAAAGCGGTTAAAATTAAACATTTTCCAGACTTTGCACAAACCCCTAATGATTATTTCACAATGCAACTTTTCATCAAAAAGGCTCCGGATCACTCAACACAAACAGGGCAGAGCCAATTATGCGACTGCCTGAATGAGCCAACATATTATTTATTGTTCTGAACAGTCTGTGTCTCAATGCACAACTACTGTCCAAAGAACTGGAACTTTATTTGTTCTAGTGTTTATGGACGGAAATGCATTTCCATCGACAGTTAAACCTACTAACAGTCACTCATATTTTCATATATATGATTTCATACAGACCACATCCACAACGTTTGTGTCGTGTCCTGCAGGATCCAAATCCCACAACAACCCTCTGTACTGAGGACTCCGCTCCATCTTTTAGGCCACAGTTATGTCATTTTAAACACATCTATTGTGTCAGACGTGTTTCTGTCTGAAGCCTTTACATTTGTGATGTGAATCATGTGACGTCCTGTCAGCTGAGCACAAAAGCTGTTTGACAATGGACTAATTAAACGTTTCCTGAACAAACTCTGTTAAGACTTCATAAAGACTTCTGTAATATGCTCTTGTGAAGGGTTCTATGAGGGTCGGAGCTATGGAATAAAGACTTGAAAATCACACATTATTATAAAATATTAACTTCTTTGAAAAAAGAAATGTTTTTGCTTCCTATTTGAAAGGGCATTTGATTTTTATGGTGGTTCAATGAACAAACAACCGTGAAGTCTGGATTGAAGCTTCATGTGTACAAAATTATCCACAGCAAATCTTTTGAGCAGCATTAAACATTAGAGCGGTTTGAAGAGCATGGATGTCCTATTTGTGCTTGCATCAGTGTGTGTGTGTGTGTGTAGCTGGCTGACTGGCAGGGCTAATGGACTGTGACTGGCTGCAGCAGGCGGAGTGATGCTTATCAAAGTAAACTGGCCTACTGGGAAGCACAGCCATTATGCTGTTATTACACTGAGCCAGCTACTGGGTCATTGTGTGTGTGACGGAGAGTCAGAGTCAAAACACATGCAGGAATCATGTGTTGTGTACATGTTATATGACAATAATCAGAAGATGTTTAGCAGGGACATTGCAGGGGTCAACAATAAGTCAGTTTACAGAGAAATGTGAGTCATTATAATTTAAATATTATAAAAACTTCCAATAACTTGCCTGAGTTGTGCTACCAAAGACAAACTTGTCACCATTAAAAAGTTATTTAAACACAAAATGTTGCTTAAAGGAGCAGTGTGTTGGATTTAGTGGCATCTAGCGGTGAAGTTGCTGATTGCAACCAACTGAATACCACTCACCTTCCAAGCATGTAGGAAAAACAACTTGCAAAAGGCCCTATCTGGAGCCAATGATTGCCCGTTCAGTACTGCAGCGTAACCCCCGAGACCCCAGGAGCTCTGCAAGCTACTGCCGTTTGTCCACTAGTCCCTGTACTGCTTGGTTCACATTGCTACCGGTATCAATGTGACATAAAGGTGAGTAATTTGCATTTTTAGAAAGACTTCCTACACCGCAGTTTATAGCCACACAGGAGAGATGGACTGCAGTGTGGATTTTATTACTGAACTATGATCAGGATGCATTCTTTGTATTTCTTTGACTCATTCACTGAATCACTGATGATGACCAAAGGCACTAAAACACGAGTCTTACAGGTAAAAAGACATGTAGTTTATTATAGGAGTTTAGTCTAAGGCGACTGCTCTACAGGTGATAATACATCACTTATAATGTCAAGCAGAGCGTACTCAGAAATATTCTGATTTGGTTACAGCCCTAGTAGCCAGTGGTTGTATGACCTGCAGGCCAATGGGGTCAGATAGGAAAAGACATATTACATGCGGAGTTAAAATGTGTATGCTTGTGTGTGTGTGGGTTGCGTTTTACCTGAGCTGTGATTGTAGCTTGGCTCCTTTGGTTACAAAGTCCTCCCATGTAGGATAACTGGCCTGCAGCAAACACAGAGAACATAAAGTACATTAAACCTCCGTCAGCATCGCACAACAAGTTCGACGACAAAAGGATTCACTGAGTTTAGCCGAGACATTAAACACAAAGCTTTAACAATATTTAAGAGCTTATGACCTTAATGAGGGAGACAGCTATTATTAAAGTATTAGTATTAAAGCTGTCAGGTATTTCTCTGCACTGGACTGGAATGTGTGGTTACAAAACAAACAAATACTTCATTGTAATCTTATTTTAATCTGGTACACTCAAAATAAACACTTGATGAAAAGGAAGATGAGATTAAATATGAGATATAATTGATTTGTTTTAAAATGACATCTTAACGTGTATTTGCTGTATTCTCATTACACAGAGGCGACACGTATGAACTCGGCAGCAATAAAAATTCACCAATTTGTACGCGGAGTGGCCGTGAAAGAATGAGAACTATAAATAATATCTCATTGCCAGGATTAATGGACTGAACTGAAATGAATGAGAGAATTGATCTAAATGTAAATCAGATGGGCAAAAAGACAGAAAACAATAGGGTATCGAGACAGAACAGGGGGGCAGCGGGAAGTATGCAAAATGAAAAGAGACAGCAAGGTAGAATGACAAGAAAAACAAGGAAAGAAGACCAAACACATGAAGAATGATGATGAAAAATGAATAAAGGATCGAGACAGAAAACCAGAGTCTAACGTTATATTGAGTTTAATGATGCTGTTAATTCACGCGGTGCTGAGAAATCAGTTCAGGAGAGATTAGGCTCTGGGGTGAAAGGTCAGCATTACTGGCCGCCCGCTGGTCAACAGAGAAATTGTTGTCGACTAGTTTTCTGTCGACTGATTGATGGAGTAATAGTTGCAGATCTGTCTCAGTTATTCTGAACAACAGCAGCAGCTCTGAACGGTGTAAAACCATCAACAGCTGACTGACTCCTGTTATTTTTGGCTCTTCTCTGGGTTTCACATGAGGCAAAGGCTCTCAGGCCGACCATAAACATATAGAAACAAGCATGAAGAAGCAGAGCCAAACACAAGCAAACCAATGCTGCTGTCATGCAGCTGTGATTGATTCTCTGTGAAACTGCAGCTTTTCCTCTGAGCACATCTCAGCATCTAATATTGCCACTGAGCCACAGATCCTGTTCAAACTCAGCAGTAGCGCATATTTCAACTTTTTTTTAATGCACATTTTCAATTTAGACCAAAGAGAGATTCAAAAAGCCAAAAGAATTTAAAAAATCTACACAATCGGGGAGATGAAACTACGTAATGTAGTGTAGGCAGGTGTGCTTTCAGAATGACAAATTATTACGTGATTATATAGAAAATAGTTGCTGATTCATTTCATGTAATTTGACTAATCAATAATTGACTAGTTTGTTTCCATTAAAGTGTAAAAAGGAAAAGGGATTAAAGAATATCTGCACTATTTGCTAATATCACCAATACAGCACAAGATGACAGAGGGTTTCAAAAGCTCTAATGTTTTATTTCTCTTTGTGCAGAGATAAAAATATCCTCCAGGTTTGTGTTTAACACTTCCTTTAGGGGGTAAAACTGTTTCTATGTCCGCATTTTGTAACAGCAGCTGACTGATTATGTAATCCAAGGCTGGTTCATGCTGCAGACTCTGACCTTGGGTTACATCTGTGACCAACAGCTGCTGGTGTGGTGTTCTGGTTATTCAATTAAAAATGCAGGAAAGCCCTGTTGGGACAGAGGGCTGAATCCCACTTTCTCTCTCTTTATTTTTCCGAACCCAGTCACCCTGTCTGTCCTCTGTTTCTGCTGGTCCACCAGAGAGGGGATAATACCGATTTAACCCCTAACACCACGCCATTAGCCTCTTAGCTCCACACTGCTAAAGCTGTTAGCCGGCCCCCGCTTCGCAGCTAGCCAGGCATGCACACGGCATAGAGCTGACAGGTTTACTAGCTGCAGGGACTTAACAGTGCATGATGAAATACTGCAGGTGACCGACTGAATGCCTCTGGTGAGCAACTAATTGTGAACCTGGGATAAATTGAAGAGGAAGGAAATTAATAGAAATAGATTGCACTCCAAAAACCTTATTGATCCCTGCGGGGACAGAATAGGTTGTGGCTGGAACAAAATTTATACTGGGATTTAGAGGGAAAAAAAGAACATAACGCTGACAAATAAAATTTATGATGCACATTTAAGGTAAACTGGACTTTAATGTTACAGCATTTGTGAGGAAAGCAATGTTTTTGGAGCCGAAATCATTTGTTGTTATTGAATTACTGATACTGAGTGGATGGTTGTAAATTTCAGGCAGTATGTCATTTCTAGATATGATAATATAGTGTTCTGAATTGAAGGCATTCAGAATATACTGTAATCTTTCCAAAACCTCATCTCATGCAAGGGGTTTTCACCGTATTAATCTTTCAGAAAATCCATGCATGGAAAATTGTCTCATGCATAAATCTGCCTGGAATCAAATCTCTTGTACCTCGTGTTCTCAGACTGGCAATTTATTACATGTCTGTACATTTTTGTCTGCTGAGTCTTTCACAAGGTTTAATGGTATGTGTGTTTCACCCTGTACTCCAATGCAACCTATAATCAAACGTTTACTGTCAAATTAGCCCTAATACACTTAGGTTTATATCGTAGTATGTGCACAAAATAAATTCAAGCCGGTCAGGTGTTGTCTGTTGGCAAAAACAGCGAGAAGTGGCAGAGTCCGCCATGTCCTTAAGATCCATCGTTTGGAAGAGTTATGATTTCCTGACAGTGACAATGGACAAAATTGCATATTGGCAGTTTCTTATTTTTTAATTTTAAGTGCCTTGATTTTTAAAGAAAGAATAATGGCCAATTATATAAATTCAATCCTGACATAGTTAGCATTTTTTTAATATTTCGTATTCCCTGTTGTTCAGAGAACATACCAAACCCTGACCCCAAAACTGAGGAACATACCAAACACCTATTACAGTACTACCCCTACTGTTCACATGATTATCATCACAGCACTGTAGCTCTGACGCTTGACTTCCTTCATGTAGAGTTGGTTATCTAGGAAATTAAGTTTATTCTACTTGAGCAGTCACTGAAGGTCACTTTGGACAACAGTATTAAGCTACAAACTAAGAGCGTACACTAGAAAATCTCTGCTGCTTGTATTTCAGTCTGTGCAGCTCTTGTTCCCTCGCCACTTCTCGCCTAAATCTTAAATTCTGTCAGGATTTGTTGTGACTGCCAGGAATGTCACAGTCAGTCGCAGACAAAATATTCCAGCAGTGGTTTTGCAGCAGGCAGGGCTGAAATCACCAGACGGACAGAGTATCAGAGTCCATTGAAGCTTGATATTGAGAGCTTAGAGCAGTGGTTGCTAAATTAGGGTCCTGGGACCCCAAGGGTCACTGATGGTGTCCACAGGGTTCCCAGAGACAGCTGCCAACAAAACAGCTGTCTACTCTCACAAGAGGAAGAAAAAGTAACTAAAGTTATGACTGAACAACATAATGAATGAGATGTAAGTCTGAGCAAACCACTCGGGTAATCGAGGTTTGATTCAACTGACAAAAAAGTGAGTCGATTTGGGTTCTTTATGACAACTATTGCAGGCAGCCAGAGTCAAAAGTAGTGTTTGAAAAGAAGCTGAATTCAAATTTGAGCATTTCAGCTAATCACACGTATTGATACGTGTTGGTCGACTCGATCGGTAACAAGATATTTTGTAAGCAGTGTATCTATGATATCATATGTCCAAAAGAGGGCTCCAACATGTTTATTTTTTAAAAGTATCTTGGTCACAATTGTCTAAAATATATTTTTTATGGTATGTATTCATGCAAAAAAAAAGATTAAAGGCGTAAAACGAAATCAGCATAAAACAGGTATTGGTCGGGTTGTACCTAAGATGGTTAGTTATCTGTAGTATTTAAAAGGTTAGTCAAATAATCCATTAGGCTGTATTCAGACCAAATCAGGTGTTCCAGAGCAGTGGTCAACTGAGATAGAGAGTAAAGCAGGAGAGCAGCAGTAGCAAAAAAGCCAGTGAATCAGAGAAATAAATACTTTGATTACTTTTACATAGCCCTACACAATAACTTAGAGGGTTAACTGATGACAAATTTGATAAAATGAAGAATAATTTAAGTTTATGAAGAATATTAATCAAATAAATCCACAGGTTTTCAAAAGTAAACACTGGTTGCTTTTATGTGTTGGGCTTGAGAACCTTTGATAGGCACACATTTGATAAACTCAACCAGCTTTGGTATTGGCCTAAAACTCTATTCAGATGAGTGGAAACGGTCTCCATGCTCCACTAGCACTGACACAGTAAACTCTATTCACGGAGCCTGAGCTCTCCATGTATAGAAGATATAGAGAGCTGTTATCCTACCTGCTTAGTCAACCAGACAGCATGACCAGGTATCTGGTTACTTATATTCTCTCTGTGTGTGTAGTCACCTGCCTTCAGTGTCTAATCCTACCATGATAATCCTGACTTGGTCTGCTGACCGACAGAAAGAAAAGAGACAGAATGCTGAGGAGAGACTGGCGTGACATCTCTGAAAGTGAGAATACTGCCTTGTTGACCTTTGTAAAGTCCCGACTCACTCTAGAAATACCTTATTTAGTCACTCAGTCAACTAGTCAGTCGGTAATTCATTCATTTAATCAGTCAGTCAGTCAGTCAGAAAGGCAATGACACTGCTGTGGTTGGGGGTTCAGATATCAGTGGAAAAGGGCTGCAACTAACAATCATTGTTATTATCAATTTAACTGCAGAGTATTTCCTCAATTAATGGAAGTTAACGTCTTCAAAGTGCTTGTTTTGTCCAACCAAAACCCCAAAATATTCAATTTGTAATGAGTAAAAAGCAGCGCGTCCTTATCATAGGTGCTTTTTGAAGACCAATTTCCACAATAACATATACTGCACACTGCTGTGGTTAAAATGTTCAACTTGAAGCTCAGAGTAGCATGACAGGATGAACCACATGCAA